GCATGTGTCGTAGAGAAGTTTGCAGACATCAAATCAGCGCATCATACAAAGGAGAAGAAAGACCGATCGGTACTCGCGCTAGCGCTGGAAGGCACCGATGAACTGACCCCCTATGTCCTGCAAAGTACTGCGGATCAAGTCAAATCGTTTCTTTTTGCAGGTCACGATACCACCTCTATTCTCCTACAGAGATTGTTCTACGCCCTCTCTATACACCCGGATTGCCTTGCGAAGATCCGCGCGGAGCACGATACCGTTTTCGGTGACGCAGAACCACACGATGTATTCCTCAAACGGCCAGATGAGACCATGAAAGCGCTCAAATACACCTCTGCATGCATCAAAGAAGCTTTGCGACTTTGGCCCCCAGCAGCTTCCGCCCGAATGTCTCACAACAACTTCAAAGTACGCACCTCGGACGGAGAGGACGTGCTTGTCGACAATTGCGTCATATACATCTGCCATCATCTCATCCAACGAGATCCCAAAGTTTACGGAGAGACAGCAAATGAGTTCGTCCCAGAGCGCTGGGTCGGCGACTCGGATACAAGCAGCGCTTCTACTGAAGTCGACGGATCAAGTGCTGGCGAGAGCAAAATTCCCATCAGTGCGTGGAGACCTTTTGAGCGAGGACCCCGCAATTGCATTGGCCAGGAACTCGCCAACATGGAAGCCCGAGTCATTCTCGCATGTGTGATGAGACGATATGACTTTGTCAAGGTCGGGCTTGGAGAAGTTGAGACAGATGAAGCCGGTCGGCCTATCATGGACGAGATGGGCAAGTACAAAACAAAGTCCGAGTTGATTAACGTAAGCTATCTAGTAATTCATCGCAAAGAGTATGAGACTAACTTATCAATAGACGATGTCTATCACCTCACGCCCGATTGATAAGACCGTTATGCGTATCAAGTTCCGCGAGTCTGAGAAACAGTAAGCCACGATTTACGATTCTGATGCCTTGAAGCTTTGTCATTGGAACGTTTCGAAATGTATCAGGTTTGATGGCTTCATGAGAGTACATGTTTCTATCTACACTGTAAATTTTGTCTTGTTCTCCTCCGCACAATCTTCTGCGATTTTTCGTACCTCCCCTTCGCCTAGTTCTTCAAATATATCGAATCCCCATCGCGACTGCACGTTGAAACGCTTGTGTCTCTCCAGCCCGCTCAGCTCATCGAATGCATCTTTCGGTAGCTCTTTGACTTGCATGTTGCTCTTGATCCTGCTGGGTGTAACACTCTTAGGCAGCACCACAGTACCGCGCTGAATGCCCCAACTCGCAAGTAGCTGGCCGCCTTCCATGCCCAGTCTTCGTCCTACGCTGCCCACAAGTTCGTCGTCGACCGTGCGTGGCTCTCCCGTCTGGTTGTTTCCGAGGGGTGAATAGGCTTCGATGAGAATACCTTTGCTCTTGCAGAAGTCGAATAAGGCAGGCTGTTGGAGGTATGGGTGTGCTTCGATCTGGTTTACCGCCGGCACAACGTCGGTCTTGGATAGAAGATCATTGAGGCGATTGACGGTGAAGTTGGATACGCCAATAGCGCGTACCTTACCGGTGTCGAGCAGCTTCTCCATGGCCTTGTAGGTTGTCGCAGGGTCGATGTCGGCAAGGTCAAAGACGCCACTGTCACGCAATGGGAACCACTTCCCTGTAGCACCGTTGAAGGCACTGTGATTATGTTAGTACACTGTGCGTGCAGCGGAACAAGGGTCGAACGTACACAGGCCAATGCATCAAGAACAAGTCCAGGTACTCGACACCAAGGTCCTGTAACGACTTATCGAGTGCTGCCTCTACATCTTCGGGTGCATGCTTGGTATTCCAGAGCTTGCCAGTGAGGAAGATGTCGGAGCGAGGGATACCGCTCCTCCTGATGCCATCACCCACTTCAGCTTCGTTGCGGTAGATGGCAGCGCAATCGATGTGACGGTAGCCTGCTTTGAGCGCTGTCTCGACGGCGCGCTCAACCTCGCCAGGCTTCGCTTGCCATGTGCCGAAGCCCACGGCCGGTATTTGCGCGCCTGTGTTGAGGGTGAAGTGTGTGGGGAGAGGCATGGTTGCTGTAGCGTGACGCGATACGGTAATGCCTAGGTGGAATCAGATGGGCGGGCTTCAGGACGGGTTCAGGGGTATGCAGTATAATGCAGAGATAGTGTGCGATGTCTTGACAGGACGAACTGCCATTTGGTTGATATATACATCCATAGTGAATCTTCCATGACTACCTAGGTACCGAAGGCGCGAGGCTGTCGGAACAAAATCGGAACCGGAGACGGAGAAGGCACCATCAAATGACCACACCAGGGCAAGGACAGGACCCAGCGGGATGCGTGGCACTGCATCCTGTGATGACCTCTAATTCGTGCAGTGGCTGGACTAAGGCATCCGGGTTCCGCCAAGTGCCTCGGGAACGCAATGGGGAGGTTGGCGAGCGGAGCTAAATTATCGGCACGGATTCTCGGAAACGTGCCCGCCTCTTTCTCCCTCCGCCATGTCAAACACACCCAGCAACACGGCAGTACCACAGAAGCGGAGCCTTGACGCCGCGCAGGGAACCAACAATACCAGGCAACGATTGGTGAAAGTCACGAGAGCATGCGACGTGTGCAAGGCGAGGAAGTCGAAGTGTTCCGGCGACCAGCCATGTGAGAGCTGTATCCGCCGGGGCCAGACATGCCAATACGAAGCCGCCTACCTGAGAGGCAAGGTAGTCTCCCCACGCCCTTCTGGTCCCGCCGTTGCTAGCCCTCAGCGCACCACGTCTGTTCCAGGCTATCCTCATGCTATACTCAGTGTCGCACCGAGTATGGCTGTAGGCAGCAATCATCGCGTTGGGGAGGAGACGGAGCCTCCTTCGCGAGCTTCCCCTGGGCTTGAGATCGCAGCTGGGCAATACTCCGACTCAACGTCTGGTCTCTCATTCTTGAGTCGCGCATGGCGGCGCATCTCCAACAAAGAAAGCAGTCAGGTCGTGATAGGCTCCAACGAAGACCGCCAGCTACTCATGAGTGCTGGTGACAAGCCCTTCCTGGAAAGTGGCCAACTGCAAATGCCATCACTGGACCGTAGTCGCCAGCTTCTTCATCTATATTTTGATGTTTGCATTGCGACATATCGGCTGCTACACAGACCTACTGTTGAAAGTTGGATGGAAACTGTGTCTGAGAACGCCAAACTTAATCAGGCCCTCTTTCATGGTATGTACCGCCTGATTGAAGATACTTGAGTTTTACTGATGATGTCTCTCCTCGTAGGCGTCGGTCGTGCCAAGACTGCAGTGGTCTTGTCCGTACTAGCTATTGCTTCGTTTCATGAAGAAAAGGCGAGCGGCGAAAGTGGTACTTCGCCAGCAAGTCAAGCCGACGCGCAGTCGCAGAGCGATATGCTCTTCACTGAGGCTTTACGACTGACACAAGTCGAGACTGGTATCCCAAAGCTCGAGTCAGCTCAATGCAGGCTTATACAGGTCCTGTACCTTCTCATGTCATGCCGCTTCAACCAAGCGTGGTATACGTTTGGCCATGCCCTACAGATTATCTCAGCGTTGGGTTTGCATCGAAGGGACGATCGCAAACGTCAAGCAAATGCCACCAAACGCGACTACATAGGTGAACAGTGCAGAAAGCGCACATTCTGGGTGGCTTATACACTAGACAAATATCTCGGTGTCATATTCGGGCGACCCAGACACTACCACGATGAAGACATTGACCAAGATTTCCCTGACGCTGTCAATGACGAAGACATGACCAGCACCGGTCCAAATACTACGAACACAGACGACTGTCACATAGAATCGCTCGTGTATCATGCGCGCCTGGCACAAATTGCTGAAAAGATATCCCGAGAGGTTTATTCGATCAGACCAGTACGTTAGCACATCACACCCTCCAGCTCAACCTACTGACTAATCCGTTCTCAGGTGCCGGATCAGGTCCGACTTGCAGCCTCTCATCGCCTTGGGGCAGAGTTGCGCCAGTGGAAAGCATCGCTACCACCCTTCCTCGGCGCCGTCAACCCTAGCAGTCTCATTCCTACGTTCCGACGGCAGGCAACCGCACTCAAAATGTCCTACTGTCATGCTGTAATTCTAGCCCATCGCCCGTTTCTCCTCAAGAACGCCAGGCGTAGCAATGTAGAGATGACTAGTCTTGCCCAAGACAGTCTCACAGAGTGCATTGCAGCGGCAAGATCAGTGTTGGAAGCAGTCGATCGTATGGCGCGGGAAGGTCGACTGTTCCATGCGTTTTGGTGGACCCACTACGTCTGTTTCTGTGCTTTGGTTGTGGTCTATGTGTGGGCCATTCAACAGAGTACACACAACTCAGCGTCAGCTGAGGATCCTCGCGGTATCCTAGATCAAGCCGAGAGCTGTTTGCAACATCTCGCCCAGGCAACAGCGTCAAACTCGCCCTCGCGACGATATAGCATCATCCTGCAGGAACTCCGCACAGAAGCAAAGAGAAAAACAGCCATACCACATCGGGAACCAGTACTAGCATCATCAGCTGCGGTCAATGGCGGAAACCCACCGCCTTTGGATGGAGATGCGATACAGGAACCGGATTTGCAAAACTGGCAGCCACTTTTTGGTAGCCCGATGGACATGACCACGCCAGGGTTGCAGAACTTTCTCGATGACTGGCAGACGACTGACTGGCTTGACCTCGATGCCTCTGCTTTCGGTCCTTTTCCCGAAGTGGACGATATATCAGCCTGGGTGAATAACGCATCGTAATGGCTTTCGTGTTCCTGGAGTTCACGGACGCGAGACGGAAGATTGACGTTGAAGTATACAATACACCCAAGGTTATCACATTGGTCAAACAGAAGATATTGATATCTTCAGGGTAAATTTTAACAATGGGTTGACCATAGAATATCCGCGGTCACTGAGCTCACGAGAAAGCTCCACGGAACTCGATGCTCGGTCTACGTGCGGTATCGATCCTTCGGCCGCTATCAAACGTTTGCAACCAAAGCGGATGACCTTGCTTTACAGAGTGTACCGGAATAACGGCGACTTGTCCCCCATGTTCAAGAGCTCCTCGTCCGTGTACTTCGCCCGAATCTCGTCTTCACTAAGCCTCGCTTTCTTCGCGTTGCCCCACTTGTACGACAGCTCCAGAAGGAAAGCGACGATAAAACCGGTCGCACCAAACGCGAGCGACAGTCCGAAGCCAGTGTAGTACTTGGGCTTCTCGCTCTCCAGGTACATGTAACTGCCGATGACGCCACCGATGTTACCGACGCAGATGTTGAAAGCAACGCCGATAGCACGACGGGACGATGGAGCAAGGTTGTTGGCTGCCCAACTGCTTCCGGCCGGCTGAATGGGGTAGATGCCCATGCATGTCAAGATGATGGCAAAGAATGCCGGGCCGATGTTGCCACCCAGATCGCCATCGAAAGAGATGACTACGGCGTACCCGATGAAGATGAAAGAGAGCGGGATGGCAACGAACGGCAAACGCCAGTAAAACCTGTCCGAGAGCTTCGCAAAGAAGATGGAGCTCAAAGCACCAGCCACATATGGTGGAACCGTCATTAGCTGGGCGTTAGTGTTGTTGAAACCCATACTCTTTGTGATGGTAGGCAAGGTGAACTTGGTCCCTACATACAGTTAGCCAGTGTCTGGTTGTGTTGCAAGTTACACATACCATATGAGCATGCCGATATGCAAAGCAGGATGTATGCTTGCATGTACAGGCGCCAGTTGCATAGCACGGCCTTCAAGTCGCTCCACTTGAAGCCCTCCTTTTGCTCCTCTCCGAATCTACCGCCGTCTTTGATGAATCGTTGGAGTTCGAGGAAGCGGATCTCGTCGGGTTTCAACCACCGTCCGCTCAACGCAGGAGAATCGATCAGGAGGAAGAAGCACGAGACACCGAGGGCGACGGTTACAATCCCCTCCAAGATGAATATCCATCTCCAGCCTTCGTAGCCACCAACGCCATCCATCTTGGCGATGACCGCAGCAAGCAGACCACTGAACGCCCCAGACAATGCTGATGCACAATAGAAGTAAGAGATCCTTGTCGCAAGGTCCTTTGGCATGTACCAGTAAGAGCAGAGATAAATCGCGCCTGGGAAGAATCCAGCCCTGTATCTCATTAGCGCAGAAACATCGCGCTGTGGCGCAAACTTACTCGAATACTCCAAGAAGAATGCGGGTAATCAACAAACCGACGAAGCCTTTTACCACGCCCATCATGGTCATGATTATACCCCAACAGACGATGAGTATGCCGAGGTAGTACGATGGACGCTTGAACTTCTTCAAGAGAATATTGGAGGGAACTTCAAGAAGAATGTACGGCACGAAGAACACTGATAACACGATGTTCCATTGTACACCGTCAAGACCCAGGTCTGTGACCATGCCCTCAATCTTCGCATTGCCGATGTTCGCTCGATCAATGTGGGAGATGAGATAAAGGACTGCAAGCATCGGTACCAAGCGAATGTCAACCTGCAAATGATCAGCGGGTCAATCGACGCACAGCATCGGTGGCTTCTTACCTTGTGGATTACTCTTTTCCTTTTCTCTTCCGTGTAGTTGATGTAAAAGTCCGCATCTTCAGGTGCCAGACCCAACACTTGGAAGTTGTCGATCTTGACGATCTGATGCGGCTTAGGGGAATCAATCGAGTCTGCCTTTTCATCGATGTACTGGATTTCATGTTTGTCCATTGATGGAGACATTGCGATGGATGGAAAAGAGGAATGAAGTATACCAGATTGACGCGAAACCCGGGATGCGATGATGTTCAGCAATGTCGGATGCCACAAGCTTTATACACATGACACTGGTCGCGGCACACCATGTTGATGGCGGTTGGATTGCGGAGAAACATGTGGCACCCCAGTTTTTCGGTTTCCTGGAGAAAGCTAGTTGCGGGGAAAGTAGTTCTTGCACCAAGCCCGATCACGACAATCATCTAATCAGCTCCCTCGCGGATGGTTTTCCGAGGCTAATGAGAATCCGGTCAAATCAAAAGCGTTTCCGCCCCTCGGATGTATGCAGGTATGCAAGTCTCCACCTCACCCCAATGTTGTGGTCGAAACCGGGGAACACAGCTGCACAGGAAGAACCGACAGATAATAATTCGACGATTAGCATCAGTTTTGACCTCTCAAAGCACAGCCTCTCTTTCCTATCTCTTCGAGCAAGCCTTTGTTACAAGCCACAATCACCATGGCACCGGCGCAGATAGCTATACCTGCGCCACTACGGCCGTCAACACCACCATCTACATTCAGACATGCGCGAGACGACCTCCTTCAACCGGACGAATCCTCGATAAAAACAGTCGATGCGCTCGTCCGGCACCGCGCGCGTCGTGATCCTCATGTCACCATCGTATCGTATCCGAGCTCTGGGGTTGACTTCGTGGATTATACCATGCAGCAGCTGGACGTCTTCGCGTACAGAGTAGCTCGACACTATCAGATCTTCATACCTACAAGATCGAGTTCTGCGGAGATGCCAACCACAGTAGCCGTTCTGGGACCAAGTAATATGGACTACATTGTCTCGATGCTTGCGCTTACCAAACTGGGCCATACGGTACTTTTCCTTTCAACGCGTATATCCCAAGCAGCTATCGACTCTCTTATCACCACCACCGGAGCCACCTATCTGCTGGCAGATTCACGATATGCGCGATCTGCAATCGACGCTCAGAGAGCCATACCAGGGTTGCAGATCGGCGAAATTGCCAGGCCTGACACTTACAACTTTCCTGTTGAAGTCCATGCAGACACCCGCCTTGACTACCAGCTCGACCATACAGTCGAAGCCTCGAACAACATCTACATTATACACTCCAGTGGTATGTTCTATCTAACAGTCTATTGGTGTTCGAGCTAATGTGAGGAAAGGCTCTACCGGACTGCCGAAGCCGATATATCAGCCACAGAGAAGTGCAATCGCCAATTACGCCATTAGTATGGATATGAAAGCATTCATTACCCTTCCGCTGTATCACAATCACGGCATTTGCAACTTCTTCCGCGCGATATACAGCGGCAAATCCATCCATATCTACAACGCCGACCTGCCCTTGACCCAATCTTATTTGGCTACGATATTGAGGCAGCATAGATTTGAGATCTTCTATGGTGTGCCTTATGCGCTCAAGCTTCTCTCTGAGACAGATGAGGGGATCGAGCTATTGAAGCAACTCAAGATCGTCATGTACGGAGGGAGTGCCTGCCCAGACGCGCTGGGCGACCTATTGGTGAACAGCGGCGTCAATCTTGTCGGCCACTATGGGGCGTAAGTTTCATGTGATCACTTACAGCAAAGCCAAGCTTACGATGAGCAGCACTGAAGTAGGCCAACTCATGACATCCTTCCGACCTGCCGACGACAAGGTATGGAACTACGTTCGCGAGTCGCCGAAACTATCGCCGTATCTTCGATGGGTATCACGCGGACCCAATCTCTACGAATGCACGGTTCTGCCGGGCTGGCCAGCGAAGGTCGCCTCGAACCTACCAGATGGCAGTTACGCCACGAAAGACCTGTTCGAACCGCACCCTACGATTGAGAAGGCATGGAAATACATTGCGCGTCTTGATGATACAATCGTATTGGTGAATGGCGAAAAGTTCAATCCAGTCATGATGGAAGGAACGATCCGGTCCCATCGAGCTGTAACTGAGACAGTTGTCTTTGGTTCAGGTCGACCATACCTTGGCGTTCTTGTGGTCCCAGCAATTGAGGACATGCCAGAATCGAAAGTCGTGGATGAGATCTGGCCCGTTATTGAAGCTGCGAATCGGAGGGCCGAAGCGTACGCCAGGATATCCAGGGACATGGTTCAGATCCTACCGTATGGCTGTCATTTCCCGCGTACCGACAAAGGCAGTGTGATAAGGCAACAGTTTTACAAGCAATATGCCAATGAGATTGACAATGCATACGACTCCATTGCATCAGCTCAAGGAGATCTCAAAACATTGAATGTTCCGGAACTCGAGGACTTCTTACGTACTGTCCTGGCCAAACAGTTGACGCAGGCAGGAGAAATCGGACGTACCACAGATTTCTTCTCGCTAGGCCTGGACTCGCTGCAATCGATCCAAATCCGGACGGAGATTCTCAAGAACGTTGATATCGGTGACAAGAATCTCGGCCAGAATGTGGTATTCGACCACCCTTCTATTGCATCTCTCGCCGCACATCTCGACAGTCTTCGCACCGGGCAAGAGGAACAAGTTGTGTCGGTCACTGCGCAAATGCAAGACCTTATTGCTCAATACAGCAACTTCGAGCCCATTGCTAGACGTCAAGCTGCGCTTACTGGCGCGACCGGTTCGCTTGGTGCTCATGTTCTTGTACAACTACTCCACCGCTCGGATATTGACATAGTTTACTGTCTTGTTCGAGCGAAAGACTACAAGACAGCAGCTCGCCGAGTTCGAGAGTCTCTCATACAGCGAAAGTTGTACCACACCCTTTCGCTCTCCGGACGCAGAAAAATACAAGCCATACCTTCTGACTTGTCCGAGCCCCATCTCGGCTTAGACGATACGACTTATGCGCGTGTTGCTTCAGGTCTTACCAGTGTTATTCACTGCGCATGGAGCGTCAACTTTAACAAGAACCTGATGTCATTTGAGAAGGACTGCATTGCTGGTGTGCGTCACCTGATTGACCTCTGCCTGGCTTCATCATCAACCAAGCCGGCATCCTTCGACTTTTGTTCTTCGGTCAGTACCGTCGCACGATGCCCCGATATGCGCACGCCTGAGCGATTAGCCGAGCTTGACTGGGCCCAGGGTATGGGATATGCCCAGAGCAAATGTGTTGCCGAGCACTTGTGCTTGGCTGCAGCGAAGGAGACCGGTGTCAAAGCGCGAGTCCTGCGCGTCGGTCAGATCGTCGCGGACACTGTTCATGGCGTGTGGAACTCAACTGAAGCAATACCTCTCATGATGCAGTCCGCTCTTACTGTCGGTGCGCTACCTCGACTGCAAGAATTCCCAAGCTGGACACCAGTCGACGTTATCGCAAAAGCCGTGACGGAGATCTCGCTCAGCGACGCTGGATCTGTAGTGGCGAATGTCACCAACGCGAAGACTTTCTCTTGGACCGACGATCTACTTCCTGCCCTTCGAGAAGCCGGCCTCCAATTTGATGAAGTTGAGCCCAAGGAATGGGTGCGCAGGCTTCGCGAGTCCAATCAGGATGCGGTAGCGAACCCACCCATCAAGCTTGCTGACTTCTTCGCATCCAAGTACGATAAGGACGTTTTCGGTCCTTCGCGTACATATGATACCACTGTCGCCAGAGCTTTCTCGCCTTCTCTTGAGACAGCGCCTGTATTGGATGCAGCCTTTGTGAAGACATTTGTCAGACAATTCCAGAGTGCTGCCTGGCAGATAGGTACTACTTCAGTCGCGAAGCCGATGAGACGCGTTGTCGTTGTAGTCGCCGGGCCTTGTGGTAGCGGGAAAAGCACTGTCGCACGACGCCTCGGCGCTCACTTCAAAGCACCTTATATTGAGGGCGATGAACTACACACCGAAGAAGCCATTGTATCGATGGCTGCCGGTACACCCCTCAATGACGTCGCTCGCGCCCCGTGGCTCGCGCGCGTTAGACAGCGAGCGCTCGATACAGTGACCAAGGAAGACCACGAGCGCGTATTCGTCTCTTGTTCGGCTTTGAAGAAGTCATACCGAGATCAGTTCCGGGTTTTGATGGATGAGCAGATACGGGTTGTGTTTGTGGACTTGAAAGTCGAGCCGGAAGAGCTTGTGCGTCGAATGAAGGGAAGAGGTGGTCATTACATGAAAGAGAATATGTTGGAGAGCCAAATGGCCATCTGGGAGACGGCCGATGTCTCAGAGACGGATGTGATACCTGTAGATGCTGGACAGTGCGTTGAGGAAGTTGTAGAGGAGATCTCCGGGTTATTGGAGGCGCTCGATGTCATGTAAAGCGCACGCCTCGGGGGCTGTACTATCTTCCAGTCCATACGCGCAAATATTAGAAATCCAGTGGACCAAATCCTTAGTTGTTCGCATATTGTGATGCTGTAGACTTCACCGCACGTGAGCTAATGCAAGCGAGCGAGCAATTTCAACGACGAATACATAGTCATTCAGAAATGGAGGAAGTATAACATGCCGCCTGCAATAATTTCTTTCATTTACAGACGCAAGCCAAGGCAATGAAAGCCCTCTAAGAGCAGACCCGTGCGAGCTCTACCACTGCGGCACCCTCTACCCCTGAAAGCGAGAGTTCACAGCCGCTCATCCACAGAACGCACAACCCCAAGGTGGAAAAGTATAACGAAAACATGACCGGGCGCGGCAAAAGTGAGGGGGAGTCCCTACGAAACAGTCGAGACCGTCCTAACTTTGTCCAAGATCCACGGCGCACGGAACCTCAATGTCCTACGATACCGGATGACCTCCGCCCACATTCCCATTCGGATTCATTCTTTGGTAGTCCTCAAATCACATCGGGACCAGCGTATTCTGGGTATGGGCAAGCACCTCAGCCCGATGACTACGGCGCAACGCCTTTCCCTGCTACAACACAGCCATATACGCAAGTTTCCAGAGCTTTCTTCCACCCGCAGCCAAGTTCAGCAGATCAATTCGAAGACCAAATCAGGTCTCGAAAGCCGAATCGACCGGAGAACATGTCGAACTCGCCAGGTCTAGTGCCGACTACCGTCGAATTACCTCAAGGGTCAAGTATGCGGTAAGCAACATTTTGAGAAAATCTGATCGGAAGGCATAATGACGACGCAGTAGTCCAATGTCAGGTATATCGACAGAAGAGACGCCAGAGCCTCGAGACGAGTTCGCTAGTACACCTGCGTCTAATCAGTTTACCACGTTGGAGGAAGAATACGCAACCCTATATCACCAGCGTCATGACATTGGTATGCGAATGGAGGAGATAAAGAAAAGCTTTACTGCGGAGGAGTACACTGCTTTGATGGCAAAGCTGGATCCGCAGAAACTTCCGACGCTCAAGCCGTGGTCTGGTACTACTGATGGTTGAGCGAACGGTGTAGAAGTCAGTCTGAAAAAGCTACAAGGTCGTTCCCACAGCAGCTTTTGATGGACTCGGTCTCTCAAAGAATTCATACTCGATGTCGTACTCAATCCGTATCGATGTGAACGAACGCTGCTCTCGACATCTAGGGAGCGCCCATCTCTGCGCGTGTGTGTTTGAGATATTCTACTATTCGTTATATACAGTCAGGATTGATCGCAGCACTCCGGTTGAGACTGCTGAAGCTCTTGTATCGCTGCTTCGATTGATACTTGGATGGCGTGCTCTGATTACGACGAGGATGCAAGCCGTCCCTGAGACCCCTAATCACTCAAGCGAGATGGTCCAAGCTCAATCCCGCGGCGGCGTGGTGGGTGGAGCTCCAAGCATCAACACGCCGAAGCCAGCCAATTCCCTGCCGACAACCGCTGTCCCCTTCCACGTCGCTGCCATGCTCTCTGGAATTCTCATCTTCAACCAAAAGGGTGAGAACCTCATCTTTCGCGCCTTCCGCAACGACTGCCGCCCGCGACTTGCCGATGTCTTCCGCATTCAGGTCATCTCCAACGCCCAAGTACGCTCGCCCATCCTCACCCTTGGCTCCACCACCTTTAGCCATGTCAAACACGAGAACATATACCTGGTCGCCGTGACCAAGAGCAATGCCAATGCTGCGCTCGTCTTTGAGTTTCTGTACCGTTTGGTGGGATTGGGAAAGGCTTACTTCGGCAAGTTCGACGAGGAGGCCGTCAAGAACAACTTCGTACTGGTCTATGAGCTACTGGACGAGATTCTGGATTTTGGATACCCACAGAATACAGAGACAGACACGTTGAAGATGTACATCACGACTGAAGGTGTCAAGTCGGAAAGGGCAATGGTAGGTCACATCGAGCGCGACCAGAGCAACAACAGCTGACAGAATCACAGGAGGACTCCTCGAAGATCACAATGCAAGCAACCGGTGCCCTTTCCTGGCGACGGGCCGATATCAAGTACCGCAAGAACGAAGCCTTCGTCGATGTCATCGAGGACGTCAACCTGCTCATGTCCGCGACGGGGACAGTACTGCGAGCCGACGTGAACGGACAGATCATAATGCGCGCATATCTCTCGGGCACACCCGAGTGCAAGTTCGGTCTCAACGACCGACTAACGCTGGGCGAAGATCATCTACAACAACCGTCTGGAAACAAGGCAGGCGCGAAAGCTACAAGGGCGGCAGCGGGAAGTGTGACGTTGGAAGACTGTCAATTCCACCAATGCGTGAAGCTGGGCAAGTTCGATGCGGACAGGATAATATCCTTTGTTCCGCCCGACGGCGAGTTCGAGCTGATGCGCTACCGAGCGACTGAGAATGTCAACCTGCCTTTCAAGGTGCACGCTATTGTCAACGAGGTTGGCAAGACTAAGGTTGAATACAGCATCGCCATTCGCGCCAACTATGGCTCCAAGCTTTTCGCGACAAACGTTGTCGTGCGGATACCAACACCCCTCAACACTGCGCGCATCACAGAGCGGACATCACAAGGCAAAGCCAAGTACGAGCCGGAACACAACAACATCGTCTGGAAGATACCAAGATTCACGGGGCAAAGCGAGTTTGTGCTGAGTGCTGAGGCCAGCCTGACCAGCATGACCAACCAGAAGGCGTGGTCCCGACCACCGCTCAATCTGAGCTTCTCATTGTTGATGTTCACGAGTTCGGGGCTACTTGTGCGATACTTGAAGGTGTTTGAGAAGAGCAACTACAGCAGTGTAAAGTGGGTGCGCTACATGACGAGAGCGGGTAATTATGAAATAAGGTATGTGTCTCCCGCTCCAGAATTCGATCACACCCATCTCACACATTTATTCCAGGTTTTGAGCATTATTATTCTGTACATTAGCCTGGTTTCACACAGGTATTATTGCATTGCAGGCGTCATTGAGCCACTAAAGATATCCTTGAGCACAATGAAAGTACAACATCAGCTTTTTGAGTATTGTTCCATCCGTGACCAGAAGCTCAGGCTGATCGTTAAACGGACCAGCCACGGTTCTCTAAGCTTTGATAACCTTTCTACCGTCTTCACTTCCGACACCACGCGCGCGCGAGTCTATGTCGAAGTGCAAACTCTCGACTTGGAGTCTTCAAACCCCATACTAAGTGGTCATAATGGTGAACTTCCTCAGAAGCATTGAAAAGGCCGTATTGAACTGTCCATTTGACGCGGCTTCTACTCCGGGTCTCATTCGGGCTAGCGCAGGCCGACTGGTCCTTCCACATAGTCCTGCCTGCAACCTTGAGGTGCGTCGCATCGCAGCGTCCCCTTTTCTCTCATCTCCACTTTCGAAGCCGCATGAACACACAGCGCGCCTTCTGCTGGCACTAGGCATTGACGCATTTGGAGAAGTCGCGTGTATGATGACACCGCCAGTAACACGTCCCCCCGCATGCACGACTGGTGCTGCGACGCGCAGCATATGCACCAAAAAATGGGCCTCATCTTCCTGTGGTCCCGCTTCCGCTATGGGAAAGCGATGGACGCTCGTCAAGTCATCTCGCTACGTTTGCGCAACTTCATGCTGCCACTTACTTCCCAATTTGACTGTTGATATGCATCAAATTCGAAGAAGGGGTTCGACTCTCTTGCTGGATCCGCGTACAGGTTGTGAGGGACAGAGGCCTAAACGAACAACATTTCGAGTATTCCATGCAGAAATACCAATCGGTAGTATCTCGGTGTCGCTATCTAATGATGTACCCCAGTCTCGTCAATCAAGCAGCTCGTACTGATTGATGCGATACTCGAACAAGAGGGTACATCAAGTTATGAGCATCTGTGATCTTACCAGCATGCGATCAGGAATCACAAAGCTAACAGTAAATTGCGCAGCGGTACGAGTCAGAAAATACGAACCTATCTATATTATGTGGCAGGCCGGACGACAATGCAGCTTGCAAGGATTGTTGCCGTATCATAACGCTTGATGTGTCGACCCCTCATGCTGTGCCGCAGCCACAATCTCAACCGCTGATCAGCTGTCATGTGAGTAGTAAGAGTACATCTATCAATCCGGTGGGACATTCCTGGCAGTCACCGGCACATTCACAGAACAACTCCAGTGTTCTTCCGATCTCTGAACAAGCTTTTACTGTCGCTTCTCCATGGAGGGTGTGGCTGCCTTCTCGTTGGCATGTAATGTTATACAAATTGCCGAACTCTCTCGAAAGATCATCGCAACCGCAAAGGAGATCCAAACTTCTCGCAACGGCTTACCGAAAGACCACGAAGATCTACGTACAGCCGTGGAGATCCTACGTCGAGATGTTGCGGACCTGCAGCAGAATCACAACGGCGACACTATCCAGAGTCTCGCTGTTCAAAGCGAAGTCGCTATAAACGAGCACATAGCTCTCTTGGATTCGCTTCGACTGAAGGGTCCCCGTACCTTCCTTCATGCCTCGGCTGCAGCATTCAAAGCACGGCGCAAGCAGCGCCAGCTGTACGAGTCTCAGGCGAAAGTTGACCGACTATCAGAAGAGCTCAAGGCGCACATTGTCATGATCCGCATCCCGAACATAGATCGCAATGTGGACCACCTTGGCGATAAGATAGCGTCACACAATTTCTCCATCGACCGTGACATGAAGACCATCGAGCAGCACCTGAACAGGGTTCGCAAAGTGACTGAAAGTAACTCGAACACCGCGAACGCTACAGCGGAGCTCGTGGTAGAGTTACAACGATGGCTCAAAGATCAACAAGATTCCCAGGCGAACAGGCAGTGTCTACACGCACTCTACTTCTCAGAAATCAGGAGTAGAGCCGATCAAGTAAAGCGAGCGCACGAAGACACGTTTAGTTGGATCTTTGATGGGACTGGAGATGTGTTTGGATCTAATCACAAAAACAAGTTCAAGAACTGGTTACGACTGGACGATCCTAACAGAAACGTGTTCTGGGTGTACGGAAAACCCGGTGCGGGGAAAAGCACTTTGATCAAGGTAAGTTTATGAACATAACTATTGTGCGGATCGTACACTAACTTCAAATCCTCGCGTCGGTCAGTTCGTTGTTACTCACCCGGATCTGAGATTGCACTGTCAATCCTGGCTGGGATCGCGCTCATTGCTCGTCATCGACTGTTACCTCTGGAGACAAGGAACGATCCTGCAACGTTCATTCCGGGGATTGTTGCAATCAATACTCTACCAGGCTCTTAAGGAATGCCCTCAGCTCATCTCGAAAGTCTTTCCACGACGCGAATGGACGCACGCCGGGACAGATTTTCAATTTCCACAGGACATCTTGTGGAACGGCTTCCAGGATCTTTTGAACTTGGCGCCGAGTTTCAACATATTTATGTTGTTCATCATCGATGGTCTCGACGAATTTGACGATCGTGTAGAGATTCGTCAAAACTCGGCGCCGGATGTACAAGACTTACTACGTCTACTTCGCGCCATCGAGACATGTCCCTCGGCAAAGCTTTGTGTGGCTAGCCGACCTCTGAACGAGTTTGAGATTCATTTGGGGAAGGATAAAGACTTCTGCATTCCCGTACATGACTTGACCTCGAGGGACATCACAATATATACCGAAGATACGCTGAGCAAGCACCCTTCATTTTCGCAACTCGTATCACAGGATCCTGGCTATGCAACCCTCATCGCAGATATCACCTCCGCAGCGGAAGGAGTCTTCCTTTGGGTCTACCTCGCATGCAACTCTTTGCTCAACGGGTTGAGTAACGCGGACCGTGTTTCTGACCTACAAGGGCGGCTGATGCGTCTTCCCCGTGAACTGGATGAAATGTACATGCACATACTGTCGACTATTGAGCTTGAGTATCGCAAAAACACCGCTCGCTCGCTTTTACTATGTACAACCTCCTCATATCCGACACTTCTCACACATTATTACTTGGACGATGAAAGCCGCAAACAAATATTAGACGCTCCAAGCCTGGAACAATTCATGAATGCAGAAGAATTGGTATTGTTTGCGGCTACAGTTCGCAGAAGGTTCAACGCGCGCAGTAGAGGGCTGTTGCAGGCCGAGCCTGCCAGTATGTACGATGCTGGGGATAAGTCCCCTGGAGTTCAGAACGAGATGTCAAAGTTCCTCGGCGAAACTGTCGGACTGGCACACAGATCATTAGCAGAGCTCCTTGACAGAGACGAGATGAAATACCGGATCATGGAGGAAGCCTGTATGGAAGTTGAGATGCCTGAGCTTCTTGCCCAAGCATCGATCGCGTCTTTCAAGGCGCAGGCATCTATTGCGTGGACGCTTACTCCGACTCAAGCCAATGGGATATGCGTTGGGGAGACATGTAAAAACGATTTAGAGAGAAAGCTCACTGAATCACTGGGACTCCGCGTGACCATCATCGAACGGACAGAGGAAGAGCACATAAAAGAACACTGGTCCAAACTTGACAAGATCCTGGAATTTTCGCTCACCCATAAAGTGAAGCTCAAGGCTGTCATCATGCCCTGTGTCCCTAATGAGCCCCATCCCGACATTTTCGCCGTGGCTGTCGCATATTCCGCAACCAAGTATGTCTCGTTCATGTTGCGGCAGACTCCAATTCTGATAGCGGCCCAACCAAAAGCCTGGCCACCTCTGCTAATGGCTCTCCTCTCGGATTTCATGGGTCGGGCGCCATACCGTCGACGTGTTCAAGTGGTTGAGATACTGCTCGAGCATGGCGCCGATCCAAATGAGCCCTTTGAAGGCACAACCCCGTGGATGTGCTACTTGGAAAACGCGCTGCATCACTTTCTCTACGACCCTCAGGAACCGACCTACGCGCTTATGCGGGATGAAATATTACATTTACTCGTTCAGTATGGAGCCAACATACACGCTACCTGGAATTGGCTTGGCTATTGTAGTGACGAGCGCACTGGGAAGGTTGATCGTGTCATTCCTTCGTTCGCAGATTACCTCTATAGAGCGGGAAGACCACAAGTCGCGACCGTATCCTTGCAACTCAGCGCTGCCGCAGTTTTATACCATATACTGACAAAAGTCGGGTGTCCAGATTTTTGGAAGGATCCGGCACCGGAGTGGCTACCATCAATACCTGAGCAAGAGCAGGTTCCAGTGGTATTGAAAGGACAATGCATTTGCAACTCTTAAGCTGTTAGAAGGGGTGAGGGCGCGGGGTTAAGATATCTTGACAGCATGATGCATGATGCATGATGCATGATGCATGATTTCGAACGGCAGATATCAAGACTGGCTTCGCTCTCAAATGAACTTTAGTCAGAATAAGGAGACAATGTGATAGCTGAGGTACTGATGGTCCACCTTTTCAAGGGTATTTGTAGCCCTTTCAATGCCATGCCTCCTGGGGTACTACATCACCTCAGATATGGATATACCTTGTTGCGATCCACATGTATTATAGAAGCTTTGGCGATGCAGCACGGGTTGTAGTAGACGATGCACGGTATGAAGGTACAGCCGAGCCTCAAGTCGGTATGCACGTACATACTATACGCTGTACGATAGTCATCGGAATCCAGAGTCTTCACAGCCACTGCGCCTACAAGAGCCGGGGATTAGAGTCCAGGGCCTCCAGTTCAGACACTTTGTCGCATCAGAATGCGGCTGCAGCACGTGGACTGTCCGCCATATTGATACAAGAACCAACCAGGTAATGACTCACCAACCCAACGATGTACTTGATAGTACACGGACAGATGGACATGGCGGCCATTACAGCTCCTTTACACGGTTGGTAATAGCTTGCGTGGCTTCACGGCATGGTTCCAGGGTTGCGCTAACGAGTTCTTTCATAGCCTGCCTAATTTCAATACAGCACGCCCTTTGTGCTCCTGACCTCACCCTCCCACTGCTTCACTACGGTTGTCGCATGCCTGATAGCGACCGCAAGCGCTTTGAAGGCACTCTCTGCCCGGTGATGATCGTTGTCACCGCGTATACAGTCAACGTGAAGGGTGGTACCCGACGCCTGCGCAAAGCTTTGTAGACAATGCGGGATCATCTCGCAGCTCAAATCGCCAATCTTCTCCCGCTTAAGACCCAAATCAATGATGCTATATGGTCTGTTCGACAGGTCGATGACAGCGCGTGACAGCGCCTCGTCGAGCGGTGCGTATGCGTGTCCGAAGCGTGCCAGACCCGTGCTTCCCTGCAGGGCGTTCTTGAAGGCGGTGCCTAGCGCCAAGAATGTGTCTTCGCTCGTGTGGTGGTCGTCAATGTGCAGGTCGCCCTTGCACCGTATGCGCAGACTCCAGCCAGCGTGCTTGGCCATGGCGTGAATCATGTGGTCGAGGAAGCCGATGCCGGTGTCGACGGAGATCTCCTGGGATGTCGACTTCTGGGTAGCGTGGTCCTTGTCTACCTTCTCGCCATCGCCATTGAGACTCTTCTTGTCGTAGGCTGCCCAGAAGTCGCTGTGCTCGTAGGGTGAGAGGTCGCCGCCATCGATGTTTATCGAGACCTGGATCTTCGTCTCGTTCGTATCGCGGTTGAGGCAGCAGGCGCGTGGCATGGTGGCGGTCGTGTGCGTAATATTGATATCGGCTGGCTTCGGGGGCGTTGGGAGCTTGTAGAGCGGTCAATGATGGATGGCAAAGTCGAGGGACAAAAAGTTGAAGCGGATGCAGAGGGGCTTCCCCACGCCCCACGTCATGGCGCCAAGCAATATAGGGCTGGAAAAGTCTGGCCAACCAACGAATCGCCGAACCAAAGTCCGCCCCAAAATTTTGATATCGCAAAGTCACGTCTCGAACACAGGATCTTCATTCAGACGCAGTCATATAAACGCTTATCTCCCAACCGACATCGGCTAGTCTTTAAGAGCAAGGAACAAGATCAAAATGCCAGGCGCAACAGAAGAACCGACGCAGGTCCCAATCTTGGACCCTACCTCCGAGAACAACGAGGAGATTGACCCGGCGATCGATCGCGACAGGATCAGAGTCGTACGTACGATCTGAATGATATAGAAAAACGCGTATCTAATGTGTCTTAGCTGTCCGGTGCGACAGAGACGGCAGCATCTTTCCAGTTTGATGGCGAGGACCACACGCTAGGCAACGCGCTGAGATACATCATCCACAAGAAGTAGGCTAAACCTCTCAGCGCATAGACGAATAAACAGCTAATGGCTCCATAGCCCCGATGTCGAATTCTGTGGTTACTCCATTCCGCATCCTTCAGAAGCCAAGATGAACTTGCGCATCCAGACATACGGTAGGTCATACATGCGAAGCTACGTCAATCTTGCAACTAACACTTCACTAGATGGTGTCAGCGTATACACCGTGCTGGAGAAGGGCCTTGAAGACCTCATGGCCATGTGTGATGTCGTCGAGCAGAAGTTCACAATTGCACGCGATGACTTTGTGAACAAGATGGAAGAGTAGGGCCGTAACGCGCCTATAATTACGAAATTATTGCATTGCTGGCGTTCAAGGATAGCATGATCAGTTGGCGAAAGGAAAGGAAAATGGTATTGTCTTCAGCTATATACACCGAATTTTGTTCTTGGTTGTCCCCGGACATTGGTAGTGATGGACAAATCAGTTCCGACCCTATATACGCGTATTAGCATATGATTTCGCGAGAGTATTGACGTAAGCGTACCTCCAAGAAGCCGTTGATGAAGTTGCTTGGTAGCCGGGCCTTGGGATCCTCTTCCGCGCGGAAGTATTTGAGAACGTGTGACAATTGTTTCCAGAAGTTGAGTGTTTCCTGTACGATTATCAGTACCTTCCCTACTATCAAATCGTGTTGGTCCGTGGTGTACCTGGAACTCCTGATGACTGTTGAACAGCAGCACATCTACTGTTTTGAGTTGATTCACGTATCGATGCCGCTCGAATTCCTGCCGCATTTTCGTCCGAAGCGTGGATACGGGCATGTTCAGCGAGTACATGGTCTGGATTTCGGGAGCCTGTGAAGTCATTGTCAGTCCAGGTTCCATGTCCTGCTGCCCGCTTCTCCGCATCCCAAGCTTTCCCTCTCTCGTTCCAGC